TTTTCCTTCCCTGGAGCAAAGGCATCAAGGCGGGGGGAGGGAACATCCTCTGAAGGCATTGAAACACAGGCTGGCTCCGTTTCCACCAATGAAACTTGTCAAGTGGGTTTGGACAAGTTGGACAAGTTTTTTTTTTCAAATTTAAGCCTTTAGAATTATTTTAAAACATTTAGTTTGAGTTAAATATTCGATTTCGGAATGAATAGACTTTCCAGAAGGAAAACCTAATTTGTTTCAAATTTGTTGAAGAAAATGTTTTCATTCTGCTCCTTCGAGTATTCTCGTCAATGTGGTTGAAAACAAACATGGATTTGACCCCAATAATATTAATGAGAAAATCTAATACATTTTCTCTCATCTGCATAAGGGGTTAGAGAGCTGGGGGTGGTGACTGCAAGAAGCAGAGAAAGAGTAGTACACCGATCTTCCTACTGAATGGCTCTGCAGGGTCTGTGTCAGCACAAATCTGACCTTTGGAGGACAGACAGACTGTGCTGCCAGCACAGCCAGAAAACTAACCAAGCTGGGATGGATGAACTTCTATGCATAGTGTGGTCAGTTTGAAACAGGAAAGTAGGGGGACTGACACCAGGTATTTCACTCAAAAGAAGAAATACAAAGAGAACAGGATACTTTATAACACTATCATGGTATACACATATCATAAATATGAAATGTTGGGGTAATATACACTTTAAGATGCAACAGCAACCCCACTGGGTGCCAAATTGAGGAGACCAGGGCTGGATCTAGGGGGGTTCTGGGGTGGGTTGTGCCCCCACCCCCAATTTTACTTGTCCCCCTCCCAGGTCCTCAGATCCATAAGCCAGTCTAATGCAGACAGATGATGTAAGGAAGCATTCTGATGGGGACAATCCATGTAAAGAAGCACTCTAATGGGGACAATTCATGTAAGGGGGCACTCTGATGGGGAAACCTGATGTAAGGGGGCACTCTGATGGGGATAACTGATCATATGTAAGGAAACACTCTGATGGGGCAGTTGCTGTAAAGGACGACTCTATTAGGGACACTGATGTAAGGAGGTGCTCTGATGGGGACACTTGATGTAAGGGAGCATCAAGCACTCTGATGGACACCCTGATGTATGAGGGCACTCTGATGGGGACACCTGATGTAAAAGGGCACTCAGATGGAGACCCTGATGTAATAGGGGACTCTAATAGGGACATCTGATATAAGGGGCACAGATTCTCTTTAATCACCCTAATCTAATGACAACCTAATACCGAATAATGTTGTGACACTGTGACAGACTGTCAGTGACTCACACACGTTGATATTGTGCCCCCTTTTTTTATTGCACCCCCAGATCAGATAGGCTAGATCCAGGCCTGGAGGGGACATTGTCTTTGACACACATCTCAAGTGTATGTCCTCTATATAATAGAAATGAATTTACAGATATACTCAGGTACCTTTATTTGTGTTTATGTTTAGGTGTATTATAATTCATGTACCTTCAACAACATAAAATACTGATCTGAAAGTTTTTGGCTGACACGAGAAGTGCAGATACAGTTGACACTGGCACTGATGTTGTAGGTCTGCCCTGTGAATATTTTTCCCATTCATATAACACAGGGGCACATCATTTCAAGCTACTTTTGTGAACAGACAAAGCACACACGAGGGCAGAGACACAACAACAGCACTGGTGGTCATACACACAAAACCAATCTGCTTCTTAATGGTGACAAAAAAAGTACACTGTAGAGGTAAGGGAAACTCTCACAAATGAGCGCAGAGAGGCCACTCCAGGAGGAAACGTGTGAACAGTTAATCATGAGCTCACCACTGCAGCCTTGTTAATCATTTGCACGATGAAGAGAAATGGAAAAAATAGGCGCTGTGGAAATGCTCTCAGACAAGCACCTTAGTGAAGGTGCATCTTTATTGGGTGAATCAAAGTAGCAAATATAATAAAACTGACCAGCCTGAAGTGGACAGTGTGACTCCAATGGACGGCCCGTCCGCTCTGAGGTGAGCTGATATCAGAGAATGCTCCTGTAGGCTTCAAATCATGTGGTGTCAGCGTACCAGCGTCCTGGGTGGTGTCACCATGGCACGTATACATATCACTTTTTATAATTTGCAATTTGTACCTTTAAATTTGTATTCAGCATTGCTTCAGGACGAGCCGTCCACTCTGATTGACACCCCATCCCCTGCTAATTACACTCAGCCAGCCTTCCCTTTAATGGTCTTCTATATAATGGCCGCCGGCCAGGGTTACCAGAGACTTGACAAAGCGCAACTGTGCAAAACATGTCGTCTTGGTAACCCTACATATGCTCCCAGCTGAAGCCAACGCCGGACACTTCTTTCGCTTGCCATGGTGACACCACCCGGGACGCCGGTACGCTGAAACCACGTGATTTGAAGCTGACAGGAGCATTCTCTGATTTCAGCTCCCCTCAGAGCGGACGGGCCGTCCATTGGAGTCACACTGTCCACTTCAGGCTGGTCAATTTTATTATATTTGCTACTTTGTCTCACCCAATAAAGATGCACCTCCACTAAGGTGCTTGTCTGAGAGCATTTTCCACAGCGCCTATTTTTTCCAGTTCTCTTCACTGTAGAGGTAACTAGATCATAACACACATGAACATATTAAAATAATGGTGCCCAAAATTTATTTTTTTATTATTCATTTATATGATTTCCTCGTGCTCATGCACACGATTGTAATTTACAGGGTATGGATGTGAAGTGTAAAGTACAACTGTTGTTGTGCCAAAGAGTATGTTTTCAAACAGTTATGCATTATATTATTATTAATTAAATGATGTGCGCACTGACACCAGCGTTCACTCACACACGTACAAGTGGATACAAGCATATAGACGCGCACAGAGTTTTCTGTAATGCATTGCTATAGGAAAAAATACGCTGCTGCTGCGGCCCCTGGGCGCTACAACAACAGACATATTATACTTTGTATGCCCATATGCTGTAACTTATGACTGTGTGTAAGTGCCCTTATGGTTTACAGTGTTCGCTTTGACATGTTTTATAACCCATCAATTTTTATTACCCATCAGATTGGCAAACTGACAGCTACCATAGGTTGTGTGCCGAAACTACAACTTAGTGTAATATTCTGCCATCATTTATTGAGAGGCTTACCGAGTGATTATGTGCAGTGATAACAGCAGTGCCGCCCTCGATGTAGTGCGTCGTTGTGAAGTTGCCAGCAAACAGCCCCCTGGAAAACAATTAAGCATTTATATTAGCAAAGGCAGGGAAAAATAGCCAGACATTTTGCCATCTTATTTCCATTAGACGACATGAAAGCATTTGCTAAAAATATTAAAATAGAAAAATGTATGATCGCCATCTGTGTTTTCAAATAGATTTCAGTCCAGAGCTATAAATGGGAGAAAATGAAATGAAATTATTATGTGAAAAACGCAGCTATTAATTTAGTAAAAAACCTACATGGCTCAAATCAGTAGGATATATCTTATTTTTTCATACTATAAAGCCAAATAAACTATTTTCCTGTGTGTTTTTATGATCTATGACCTTACTAGGATGTGTGAGATAGGGACTTTGCCTGTAGGCAGGAGCTGATGTGAATGTACAATAGTGCTGGACTCGAGTTTCGAGTCAAATGTAAGTTCGAGTGTTCAGTGTTTTGACCATTCACGAGACCCATGAATGGCCAAAACACTACACCTGACTACAGGTAAGGTGCAGTGTTTTGGCCAATCACAGAACAATGCACTGTGAAAGCCATGATTGGCCAAAGTCACGGTGACTTTGGCCAATCACAACACACGGCTAAGTCCACATCCCACACTAGATAAGGCTGCTTACGCTGCCGCCTTATGCAGTGTGTTGCTGGACACTGCCGAAGACAGAGGGGAGAATACTCTCCCAGACAAAAAAAAAAAATAATCTTAAAAATAAAGCAAAAAATACATAAAAAAAAAAAAAGAAACAGCGTGGGTTTCTCCCCCTAATCCTTACCAGGCCCTTTAGGTCTACTGGAAAGGTTAGGAGAGACCCCACAGTAACAATTAAAAAAAGAGAAAAATGTGTGTGGGGTTCCCCCTAAAAGCCATACCAGGCCCTTTAGGCTTGGTAGAACTTTAAAAGGGAACCCCTACCCCCCAAAAATGGGGGAAACATTCATTAGGTTCGAGCATTTGACTGTGAGTTGACCATGGGGGTGTTTGGCCCATCACTAATGTACAATATGTACAGAACTGCATAAATTGTTGGCACTATATAAATACCTGCAATAAAACAACATGGTTGTAAACTTCAGACATAAAATATGAACAAAGCATATCCCTTTATAGTATGTACTTGTCTCAATTAAGAGCACTGAGTGCCATTTCTGTCTGCTGCTTCCTTGCTCTGCTATCAGCATGAATCACTTCTGATAAGTTGTCCTGACACCAAGAGAAAAATGGTGACAGAAAGTGGACCTCCAGAAGACCGCATCAGCTCTGTTCCTGTGTGCTGTGTGAAGGGGGTGTGTCCCTTTCCTCCAATCAGCTCTCAGAGCTCTCCTCGTTAAGCTCTGCAGTGTGTAATTTCAGCTCTCCACACCCTATTTTCTGAACACTCAAACAATCTTTATAAATTCAGCACTTTGAAAAGGTGTAGAGAAGAGAATACTGCAATACTGTTTCATCACTGTGAATCACCTGAGGCCAGTCACTTCACTAGGTATATGAATGGGTTCACAACCACTTTAAACAACCAAACAGAAACTGTCTAGAATTTTAAGAGGGCCATGAGATAAAGATGTCAGATAACAGTTATTGGCACTCTATGGCTAAGAAGGACCTGCTCATGTAGAAGCTAAAGATAGATTGCTGGGACATCATCCAAATATTAAACATAATAATCATTGCTTTGTACAGTTTGGAAGATGTTTCCATTGTTGTTTTTGTAGCAGCAATATATGTATATGTCAAGTTATATCTAATCACTTTGCTCAGACATCAAAGATTAAAGTGTTACTAAACCCACAACAGTAAAATCAGTCTGTATATGCAGTAAAACATGCTTGTTCTACTTGTACTACTGTGGAGTCTAAGGAGTTACTCCACTGCATTTTGTAAAAATGCTGTTTGATCATGACGTCTCTGATCCTCCCCTTCTTCCAGTGTCCCCCTCTTATCTCCTGATAGGACATATCATGTGGAGACTCTGCACATGCTCAGTTTGGTGTGTATTGCTAGGGGATTTTTTTTTTTTGGGAGAGTGCATGTGATCAGCACAAGGCCAATCAGCACTATCCGGAAAGAGGTTAGGGGTTCTGCATCCTTCTTCAGCAGAAAGTATACTCCTCTACAAGCTTTAACCAGTGCTCCGCTGAACACTGATAGAAGTCAGAAGACTTCTCTAACTGCTGATGGAAAAAGGTATTTAGCAGTTTATATTTACTAAAATAATTGCATTTCCATGTTGTGTGTACTGTGGGAGACAAGACAGAGTGAATGCCGGGTCCTGGGTTTAGTAACACTTTAACAAAGAATTTAAAACAAATTGCATACAAATCTTAATATAACTTGGGACCTCTGTATCTCTGGGTCTGTTGACACAGTAATTCACAATCCATTCTGTGAAGTTATATATAGTTACATAATTACCAAAGAACATACACATAATGTGAAGATCAAGCTCCGAAGAAAACTTACTTTTGAAGATAATACCCTAGGTCTAATTCTGTACATTAACGCTGATGTCACATGTGTACCTGTCACTGGCAAGAACCTAGGGGGAGATTTACTAAAATTGGAGCACTCAGAATCTGGGGCAGCTGTGCATGGTAGCCAATCAGCTTCTAACTTCAGCTTGTTCAATTAAGCTTTGACAATAAAACCTGGAAGCTGATTGGTTCCTATGCAGAGCTGCACCAGTTTTAGTAACTAACCTCCCCCCCCCATGTGTTGCTTCCTCACTGGCCAGATAAGTGAGGTGTCACCCCCTTGCTGACGGAAAGGCTTCATATACACCTGGGTTCGTCCATACAGAATAAAAAACCAGGTGTTTTGGGTGTCCAGGAGGCACAGGTGCAGTATACAGTCTGCTGCCAGCAGTCTGTCAAAATCATTGACAGGCTAAAATATGCCGTGGCTGTACACAGTTCCAAACAATACTCAGACAGGGCTGTATGCATACTGGGCAGGGGCGGACTGACCATTTGGAAACTCGGGCACTGTCCGAGGGCTCGGGGTCAGTAGGGGGCCCCATTAAATTCCCCTGGTACCTTTTTCATAGGCTTTTTTGAGTTTGGGAAAGGACACAGGGGCCCCATGATCCCCTATTGTCCGGGGGCCCCATGAGTTGTCAGTCCGCCCCTGATACTGGGACATCTGCAGTGAGTCCAGCTACCACATATTTCAGCCAGTCATTGTTTTTAACGTTTGTTGCACCTGTGCCCCCCAACTGTATGAACCAAAACTGCTTGTGCTCCTGAGCCTAACTACTGCAGAATGTAAGTAAGCAGCAAAATGTGAGTATTAGGCTGCATTCACACTTGAACGATTCGTAGCTTGAAGCTCCAAGCACACTCAAACTTAAATAAACAGTTGTTCTCTGCCTGTTCACACCTGATCACATGAACAGGCACCATAGAGAACAATTGTTTTTTTTTTTAAGTTGGAGTGTTTTTGGAGCTTGGAGCTTCAATCTACAAATCGCTCAAGTGTGAATGCAACCTTAAGCCCTGTGTATCAATCCTGGCCACTGAAACACTCTGTGCGGTGACATAGTGGCAGTCCCTCAGCCCTGTGTATACCAGGACACAAGGACTCTCCCCTAACTCTCAGTGGCCAAAAACAGTGGCAGTTCTCCACGTAAAAGCACAGAAAAATCAAATATCAACTGCTTACTTGCAGTGGTCTTCCTTTTCATAACCATTTTTATCCACTTGCAATGTATCTTTGAATTTGCTAGCATATTTAGAATCTTCAGAATGCCCTCTCTTCCTTTGGGAGTGTCTCACAACTGTCTGTGCTGGCCTAGCTCCTCCACCCCTCTTCTCCTCACATCCCTTAAACTTTTATGGAGCTGCTGGGGGAGAATACTATACCCTCTCCTCCTTTAGGAGTATCTATCTGTCTGTGCTGGCCTAGCTTCTCCACCCCTCTTCTCCTCACATCACTTAAACTTTTATGGAGCTGCTGGGGGAGAATAATATACCCTCTCCTCCTTTGGGAGTATCTAACAACTGTCTGTGCTGGCCTAGCTCCTCCATCCCTCTTCTCCTCAAATCCCGTAAACCTTTATATAGCTGCTGGGGGTAAATACTATAAAGTGTCACTTGAGCAACAGGTCTGAGTCTGTTGGGGTTGTTGACATCATATTCAAAAAGGCAGAGCAGCAGTTTCAGGGCTTTGGGATGTCTTCACTAGAGACGCTTTTACAGGTAATTAACATGCATGAAATTTGTTAAATATACAAATAATTTCTTGAAAAGATTGCATTTGAAATGAATGGTCTGGTGACAGGGTCTCTTTAAAGCAGACATGTAAGAATTTGGTAATTCAGACAAGTTCTGAGGTATTCAATGTTTGTTGCTCCTACTAGTACCCTAGTGAGGTTCTGTGGTGCCCATGGAAGAATTTTGTAATGCAGACATGTTCTGATGCACTCAATGATTGTTGCTCCTATGGTACTACAGTGAAGTTCTGTGGTGCCCATAGACGAATTTTGTAATGCAGATATGTTCTGAGGCACTCAGTGAATATTGCTCCTATTGGTACCCAAGTGAAGTTCTGTGGTGCCCATGGAAGAAATTGGTAATACAGATATGTTCTGAGGCTCTCAATGATAGTTGCTCCAATTGGTACCCATGTGAAGTTATGTGGTGCCCAAGGAAGAATTTGGTAATGAAGATATGTTCTGAGGCACTCAATGATTGTTGCTCCTATGGTACTACAGTGAAGTTCTGTAGTGCCCATAGAAGAATTTGGTAATGCACATACAGTATGTTCTGAGGCACTCAGTGAATGTTGCTCCTATTGGTACCCAAGTGAAGTTTTGTGGTGCCAATGGAAGAAATTGGTAATGCAGATATGTTCTGAGGCTCTCAATGATAATTGCTCCAATTGGTACCCATGTGAAGTTATGTGGTGCCCAAGGAAAAATTTGGTAATGCAGATATGTTCTGAGGCACTCAATGATTGTTGCTCCTATGGTACTACATTGAAGTTATGTGGTGCCCATAGACGAATTTGGTAATGCAGATATGTTCTGAGGTACTCAGTGAATGTTGCTCCTATTGGTACCCAAGTGAAGTTCTGTGGTGCCCATGGAAGAAATTGGTAATGCAGATATGTTCTGAGGCTCTCAATGATAGTTGCTCCAATTGGTACCCATGTGAAGTTATGTGGTGCCCAAGGAAGAATTTGGTAATGCAGATATGTTCTGAGGCACGCAATGATTGTTGCTCCTGTAGTACCCCAGTGACGTTCTGTGGTTCCCATTGATAGATGATCCCATTAGTGACTCTTCCACAGACTAACATGCTAGTGATACACTGTCACGAAGACAGGGAGGGAAATTTATCTAACTAGGGACTCTAAAGCAATAAAAAACTATTTGTTTTTAGAATAGGGGAAGGCTGAACCCATCACATTGTTATTGCTGTCTGTATTCCCCTTGAATATTTTCCCTCAATTTTTGTACCTGTGTAAACTTTACCTGGGCAGGAATAAAGGGGATGCCTCCTCAATTCAATGGGGCCACATAATGCAATAAAAATCAAACGGAGGACCGTACCTTCTACCACTTAGTCCAGAACTAATTATAATCTTTAGCTAACAAATTGAAAAAAAATTGAAAAGCAGCTAGAAAAGCAAACTTGACTCTTATTTGGAATAGCGTCTGCTTGCCTCGACCATTTACATTCCAGTCAGATGGCTGCTGCTACGCTGCATCAGGCAGCAGGTGTGGATTTAAAACAGTGTCAAGCTCATTCTTATCTGTAATCTAATTCATTCAGCAGATCTATTCTGAGGCAGGATCTAATTTACTGGTAATGGCACAAGCTAGGTCATTGACCTTGCAGGCCCCTCTTCTCCTTGATTATATTATACTTGCTGCAAGGCAGCAAACAGAAAAGACAAAATGGCACTTGTGTGATATATTAACATAATCTCTGCACAACGGGAGTCTGTGCCATTGCTGAGCCTCGGCATGATGTTTAGTGAACACGCCGGGCTTCCAAGGTTGGAAGCCCACTTCAGCTGAAGGACTTGTGCATTACCACACTGGAGAGGAGGGATTGTAACTGATGAAATAAACAAAAGCTCCTTTTTAGTACAAAACAAATCAGCACTTTCATCAGTTCCAGCACATCCTTCCTGAGCACAACTGGATGGCATAATCAAGAGGTGGTCAGACCAGAGTTTTGTAAACTAGTAAAATTATAGTCTTATCTCTTGAAAAATTACCCTTTTTAATGCATGCCAATAGTCTGCTAGCTTTGCTTGCTGCAACCTGGCATTGCATGATATTGCTGAGCCAGTAATTTACTAGGACCCTCAGATCTGGATTCCCTCAAAGGTTTTCCCCCTAACAAGTAACTTGCATTCATATTTTTAACCCCAAGTGCATCGCTTTGCATTTTTCAACATTAAACCTCATTTGATATGGATGTTGCCCATCCCTTTATTTTGTTGAGATCTTCTTGTAAAGTTTCTATATCCTGCTGTGAAGTTATTGCCCTGCTTAGCTTTGTATCATCAGAAAACACTTGGATTGAGTAATTTATACCAACCTTTATGAATAAATTAAACAGAATTAGCCCCGGGACAGAGCCTTGGGGTACCCCTCACACAATTTCAGATCATCTTGAGTACACATTCCTGAGACGCACCCCTGTAACCAGTTTTCTATCCAGGTACATACCCTATTATCCATGCCAACCACAAATTGTAAATTAAGCCTCTTTCTGGAACTTTATCGAATCCTTTGGCAAAATCCAGATACACCATATGCACAGGCTTTTCTCTATCTAGGTGACAGCTCACTTCCTCTTAGCATGTTAAAACATTGGTCTGAAACAAAGATCTTTCATAAAGCTATGCGGATTACTACGAAAGATACTGTTTTCATAAGCAAATTCTTGGATATAGTCCATTATCATCCCCTACAATATTTTACATACTATTTATGTTAGGCTGACTGGCCTGTAATTTCCAGGTACATATCTTGTTACTTTTTAAATATTGGAATCATGTTGGCTTTTTGCCAGTCAGCTGGTACCATTCCAGTCCCAAAGCTGTTCTTAAAAAATTAGGAATAAACAGTCTTGCTATAACCTGGCTAAGTTCTTTGAGGACTCTCGGGTGTATGCCATCTGGTGCTGTTGATTTAATTACATTGAGTTTTCAAGTCTTTTTTGGACACTGGCTTCTGTTAGCCACAAGTGTACATTCTGTGATATGTTACTAACAATACAGTCTTGATTATTATAACTTTTCTTTTTTC